GGGGGCTGGGTATTAATTACACGCTTGAGAGATGTGTGTATATGCGGTTGTGGTCCTGGGGAAGACCCTGAGTTTGGTGCTTACTACTTGTGCTTGTGTAGCTGCAGTGTGTGGTGCAGAGCCATGACCCACTATCTCTACCCTCATGGGTTTCACAGACCTCATCAGGTAGCTTCTGCATGGGGTGATGCCACAGTATGTGCAGATAGGGCAGGTTTGCTGCCCACTGGGTGGGTTTTATGGACTCTTCATGTGCCTTCCTGAGCACAGTTCTGAGTCTACAGCCAGCCGCTGAACTCCAGTGGTAACAAACAGCCCCATTAATGCAGTGTCACAGATTTCATTAGGGCGTCAGTCCCAACCAACATGGCTATAAATCAGGGAGATGGTACAAGGGCTTGCAGGCCCTGGTTTCAAGGGCCACATAGCCAGAGACTCATAATGCTCAAGAGGAAATGATCATGAATATTATTTAAAAAAATCAGAAATGTATATTAGAAAATCTCTGAGCTTATCAGATGGAGTGAGGTTGGGTAATAGCTGTTATTTATACTGCTTGTGCAGAGTGATAAAGTGGTGCTTTATGACCTGTGGTTTATCACTTAGAATAAGAGTCATGTGACTCCATTAAGGTTCCTTCTGTAGAAATGAAAAAGGGTAAATTAATGTGGTTTTTTTATTGTTAAATATTTGCACTCTCCTAAACCCAGTTTTTATTTTCCCTACTTAAGAAGTAGCATATAGGCACAAGTAAGTTTAAGTTTTGATTGATGGAGAGGTGGGGTGAAAACTCCCTTTCTGTCAAAGGCTCTTTGGCTTGAGCCAGCCTCCCACCCACTAGTATCTATCAGCAGGGCTGGGTCCAGAGAGGAGGGAAAGGCAACACAGCACCGTTACATCCGAAAAGCTGCTCCCCTCAGCCTCTCCAACCCATTGTCTGCTGGGGAGACATACTGAGGTCCTGCTGCTGCCTCAGACCTTGTTGCTGCTCTGGGAAGGGAGAGGTGGATCTGTGGAGACAAGGGTAAAAAGCAGCCTGTGCAGCTTGAGCAATGAGAAAGAAGAGCTCTTGGCTGGAACAAGACACGCCCAGAAGAGCACACACTCTTCCTGACTAAAGAGAAATTGGATTCCTCAATGATGTCTTGAAGTGAGCACTAGAAACAGTCCTTACAGACATCCATATGGGCCCAACCACAGCAATGAGCTCCATGGACAGCCATGGACAACCTGCCAGGACAATGCAGTCACTGCAACCTGAATGGGAGAGCAGAATCACAGCAGTGTTATTCAAGAGCCTATGCGAATGCTGTGGGCGTATGCCCCACAAGACCTGTGAGCTGCCACAGCCCGCAAGGCAGTGAGCACACATAGAGCCGTGGGCAATGACCAGGGCCCTGGGGCACAGGAAAGCACGCAAGGCCAGCAAACTCCAACGAGTTGCTGGGCTGCCACAGGAATCACACCCAGACTTTCCTTAAGGCTTCTGGTTTAGTCTGAGATGCTCACAAATGGGGTTTCAGGAGAGAAACAAGACTGAGCTGCTCAGGAGGGAAGAATGATAGCAGGCATATGCAGCCAAAGGCTTTGCTGAATGACAGTGACTCAGTTTTACTGCTTGTAAAGGGGGGTTTACCATGTTCACCTTCATCAGAACACACCTGGCATGAATTATTTTAAAAATACTTGCGGAGATAAAAATGATCATGGGTTCGCTAAAATTTGCTATAAAATTTTCTCCAATTTTCTCTCTCAAAATCTGACTCTTTTTCTGTTTTGAAGAACAAAATTATTTTCTAATTCTCAGAACCAGAGGAAAAAAGTTTCAGTAAGCTAAAAAAAAAACCCAAACAGGTTGAAATGTGAGAAAATCATTAGTACATTTTTGCCAAATCTCTTCCCTTAGATTTTGGAAGAGTGAGTTGGAATACTTGGTGCTTGGTTCAAAACCCAAGGCTTTAAGGGTGCTTTCAGGGAGGGAGCTGCCTGGAAGTGTGAGAGGGATGGTGGACCAAGTGTCACAGGCACACAGAATAATTTCTGCCATTCCTGGAATGTGTGCTGAAGCCTAGGTTTTGATTTGATGGCCACGTCCCTTCCCTGCACACACAGGTATTTACCTCCTCATAATGTGCACCTGGTTTGTCCATCTCCAGTGCTTGTACACTGGCAGGACCTACAATCCCCAGTGGCAGTGTGGTACCCCCAGCACTGTACAAACCCACAGCACACAGCCAGCCCTTCCCTGGCCAGACCCGAGGGCCCAGTTCACTCCTTGCATTGACTGGTATTGCAGAAGCTACTGCCCAAAAACAAAAGAAGGGAAGGGGAAAACAGAGACAGTTTGGGAAAAGAAAACAATAGATAAACCCAAAAGAGGAAGATAACCAGATTATTATCTTATTTCCCCAATCTCTCACTGGTTGTGTTTCATCTTTAATTCTAAAGCCTTCTGAAGCCGGCAGTCAAGTCTGTAGTCTTCAGGACAGTGGCTGCAACTCTTCCTCACACTAAGTTACAACTTCATGTCCTCTTTTATCTCAGAGTCACAGAACAGTTCAGATTGGAAGTAAGAAGCCAGTCTAAGTAGGCAGAAGGGTCTTCATGGGTACACACAAAATCAATGGCATAGCAGGCAGGAGGGAGGCTGGGGTCTCTCTGTCTTTGTGTCCCATGGATGCCAGTTCCCTGAGGACTCTGCATTCAGACTGCACCCCGCAGCCAGTTGTGCTCCTAGAGCTGCTCAGTCCATTTTGTTGTGTGCTCTGCCCAGTGATGGGGGTGGCACTTCTCTCCAGGTGGAGCATTGTGGTGGCTTTCAAGTGACCTTGTCTGTAGGCGGGATTCAGACTGATGGCTAGCACTCTCAGCATATTGCCTGCATGTTCCTCATAGTCATTTCCCATCATGGCTATGTGTTAATTGTCTCTGGGGGAAGTGAGGAGAAGGCTTATTAATCTGTGCACTCAGGAAAGGTTGTAAATCACCATGTGTTTCCAGCAATAAAATTGGCTAAATAAATTAAAACAAGCACTAATGACCCAAACGGAGCTCTGATGTAGTGGGAGTGGGCTGGGGGATATAGCTGTGTTTGGGTATAGGGTATGCCTTAGTCTTATACCTTCTTCCTTCTGACAGCACCCTTGGCTATCTCCTCCAGCCATAGTCCCTTCACCCCAGCCAGTGTGCCTCAGTACATTACCAGTATTACATGCTGCTGTCCTCTCCCTGCTGCAGCGATGGCCTTAGCTTTTTAGCTCAGTTTTTGTTTCCCTTTGCTTTCCAGTCCAGCAGAGCTTGGAGTTAATTCATCCTTGTTCTCTGGCACTTCTCAACAAACCCAGTGAACTTTTCCTTAATGCAAATATGCTAAACAGCATGAAAACCAACAGAGATGTATATCCATTAACAACAGCACAGCTGTCCTTTTAGATACTAGTGTAAAATATCCATCCAGAAAGATTTCACACAGTAAATAAAACGGTGAATTTGCAAACAGCCTGTCTGGTGATGAACAACCAGGGTGGAAAAGTTACCCCATAGTCCTGTTTTCCAACAACCTCTTCCATCTGGAAGGCCTGTGAAATCCTTCACCGACTATTCATCAAGTGCCACGGAAATGTGTGATCTAGTTCTCTAGAGAAGATGATGGTACCAGACAGTTCTATGTTTTCTATGCAGTAAGTGTTCCTACAAGAAACCTTCTGAGAATATCCTCCAACATTTTCTAGGATGATTAAATACTATTCTGCTCTGCCTCACCATCGAGCTTCAGCCTCTTGACATTAAGCAGATACAACTCATTTTATACCCCCCAATATAAGATCTGCTTTTCAAACCAGTAGCAGCCACATGCTGGTTAGGATAGCTCATCTACTGTGGATGGACCTTGCTGCCTTCCTTGGAGACAATGTCTCTCAAAGGAGATCATAAGGAAAGGAATTTCCAACCCTAACTATTCTATGACTCTATGATTCTATGATCTCCACAGAGGATGCACTGAATCGGTGTATCCCTCAGCCCCTATAATACAACCTGCTTTCTTGACGGAAGATGTGGATCTCTGGGCTTTCCCTTTCCAGCAGAGGCTGAAGAAATGCTAATGCTGCAGACGGCCACCACCACTGGAATGTGCACAAATGCCAACAGCAGAACTGTGCAAAGGTAAGCAAAGTGAGGTGCTGCCATGTGAAGTCAAGGTTGTGAGCAAAGGCTCCTTCTCCACAGTGCACTCTCTAGGCTCCAGGGTTGCCTGTTGTCACAATTAGTTCAGACAAAATCCTTCTCTTGATTCCCTCTGGGTGCATTTGGTGCTTCTAAACCACATTGCAGAGTGAAGACGCTGGACTCAGGGGTGGCAGTGCCTATGCTCCCTTGTCTGCCCAGTCAGAACCACAAATATCTCCAGGAGCTCAGGCCAGCAGCATAACTAGGCATCAAGTCAAACTGCCTGTAAGGAGCTCACTAAACCATGGGTGCCTCTATTTCCCATGCAGGAGGAAGAGAGCACCCGTTGTCCATCAGTCTCAAGCTGGACTCGGGCAGCACCTCAAAAATAACATAATTTATCTTCCATCAGTTGCCTGAGCCATACTGACCCAAACTCTCTGCTTTGTATTTGTATCTTCTAAGCATAATAACTGCTAAGTAAAGTGTTTTCAAAGTGGTTGAAACAACCAATTATGTCTTTCTTTCATTTACACTTTTTGTGATGCGTGCAAATGGATGTCACCAGCACAACTGAGCTCAGAAGTCTGAAGAGCTCTTACTCCACTTGGTATCACCACTGGAGCAGTCCACAGCAGACACCATCTCAGTTTCTTGGGACTTACTAGAATTTTTTCCCATGTTTCCAGCAGACAGTTGGCTCACGATTTGTTCTCAAAAATACAAGTAAACAACTGTCCCCTTTGGAATTTTTTTTTCCATATCCATTATTCAAACTGGTTTCTTTTCTCATTCACTGTGGGTTTTTTTTTTATTTTTGCCTATTTGTCATTCTTGCCCTTTTCCTTAATTCAAATAATTTTCACAATTGGTAGTGCTGAAGGACAGTAAAGAGAAACAGAAGAGATTATCCCCCTAATAAAAAAAGAAAGAAAAAGTCCATTCAGAAAGCCAGGAAACAAAATCAACAAGGAGAGCTTTGAGCTTTTCTGTTTTGGTCAGAAAACTGTTGATTCCTTTTGCACCAAGTGCTGGGCCTGATTCTTCTCCAGCAGAGTGCAGCCAAGAATTACAAAGCGAGTCAACAGACCGAGTTCATCTGAAAAGTAGCCAGAAAAAACCTCGGGCTATGTTCAAGGTGTCCATTTTTAGAAGGAAATTTGCTTAGGCAGAGGAATACCAGCATATTCAGGGTGAGTGACTCTGTGTGTGTGCATGTGTGTTTTGGATCTCAGCACAAGGAAGGGGTGTCTTGCCACCCCCAGGGGTCGGGAATAGTGCATGCATGGGGAGGACCTATTATATTATTTTTCTTCCACCTTAATGAACTCCTCTCATGTCCACCTCTGATCAGTGGAGTATGACAGAGGGTGATTGAAGGCCAGTCTCCCAGGAAATGAAGTTTGTTCACACAGCCCAAGTATGCTGGCCCTACTGCTGCCTGCCTCTGATTTATAGGACCAAAAATTCCTTCCTCCGGTAACAATAACGCTCTTAAACTCCAGACCCCTCTCCCTCACAGAACCTCCAGACAGGACAGCCCGATCCCAGGAGAGACGGGAGGCACCCAGCAAATATATCCATCAACACAACTTCGGTTTCAAAGGATTACGAGACCCCATGGGGTTAGGCTCACAAAGGCGGGGAGCGGAGGAGTGTGGCCACCACCCTGCAGCACCTCCTCCTGGGAAAGGACAGCAACAGGAGAGAGGCAGGAGCCACAGCATCTCCTATAGGCCAGATGGCACAGAGAGCACAGGGGGCTGTTTCCAGGGGAAATTCGGGCCCTCTGGAAATGGAAACAAGTCTGCTCTGAGGTCCAACATCAGAGGTTTCTTCCTCTGGGATGGGGCTCCTGGCTAGGGAGCAGTCCAAATGCTTTGTCTGTCTTTTGTGTTGTGTTTGATTTTGAGAGGTGATTTCCTGTGAGCTCAATGTGGGTTTAGCACTTAAAGACAGTAGTGGATGGCTGTGACTGCAGGTTCTGCAGCACCAAGGCTCCCACATGGCACTGGGCTCATGATGAGAGAAGCCATCATGGTAAACTGCCACACATCCCCACTCCATCTCAAGAAACATCCTCTCCAGAGCATGATAGGGCCCTGAGGTGCAGCCTGCAATGGTGTGCAAGGGTGCCAGACAGCTGGCATGGTGCTGGAGGTTTTCTCCATGCTGTCCAGTAGAGCTGGTTGGTGGCACATGTTGCGTCCAGGCACTGAAAAGACAGAACCATTTCCCAGCCAGGGTGCCTGCAGTTAAACAGTACAGATGATCTGGGGGCACATTGTTTTCAGGCTTTGTTTTATTTAGTAACACAGACATGGACATACAGTGTGGCTTATCAGGGCAGCCTCTGAGTTGGCAACACCTGCACACATGCACACACACAGGCACACTTTTAGGTATTGGAGCCCCATATTTTTGCTTAACGTTACTGTGAGAGTTTTGGTTCAAGAGAGAAAAAAGAGCTTGAGCCCTTTTGCAACAGGACAGTTGTGGCTGCCAAATTGCAGGGCAAGTCCTGGCAAGATACAAGTTCATTCTGTAACTTTTTTTTTATCATTTACTTATTAACAGCTCTGGCTCTCACCTGAAGCTGCTGAGCTGTTCCTCCGAGACAGGGCAATTAGCAGGGAGACAATGATCTGTAGAGGGCAAGGAGCAGCCTGTGCTGGGGTGGGGAGGAGGTGGGGAAGGGCTGTGGGAGGCTGAGGGTCACCGAGGAAAGAGCTATTTATGGCCCCCAGAGGAGGATTCAGTAAAAGGCCATCTAGCTTGACTTGACTTTCTCTTGACTTATCACTTCTGGGGAATACTGGTGTACCTCCCTGCCACCATGGGCTTCCAGTGTCCTGAGTGTCTGGGTGCAGGAATGGACTGGTGAAGGTGCCATTGGGAAGATGAAAATGTGGTGGGCCATGTGCCAGCTCCATTAAACCTGTGAGGTGGTATTTTAAGTGGGAAGTACCGCTGTCTTGTAGCCTTCTCCATTACGAACCCCAGTGACTGCTTCTGGACAGAGAGAGATGGGCAAGCTCTTCACTCTGCCTGTTCTTAAGGCTGTTTCCCCTCCAACCTTTGCTGTTGTTATTTCGACAGAATGTCTGTGGGACAGTAACTCTGTGTTCATGCTGATAGTTAGCACAGAGGGCTCTGATCTCTATCTCACAGTCTCCTGTGCTAACCACACTGCAGGTAATTGCTTGACAAAGAGAGAAAGTCTGGCTTATGCATGTGTATCTGGTATCTGGGCCAGCACCTTGATGTTCTGCTGCAAACACTGCTTTGGAACATACCCCTTGTAGATTATGAGTCTTTGCATATTTGTGTGCTTCAGACCACTCTCCCTTCTTTGCTGGAACCTGCTGAGGCAGGCCTTCCCAGGCTGACACCTCAGCAAGTAATGAGCTTTGTGGTGTAACTAACTGCATGACAACATAGAAGAAGAGCCCTTCTCTACATAACTGCCTGCAGAGAGAACAGTTAAAGGCATGATATTAAGTTAGATAACCATGGTAAGTTCCATCTGAAAAGGAAGTTGGTAATTCTGAATATATTTGTGATGAAAACATGACCTTTTTTAAAATGAAAAGCATTTTTATGGAGCAATCCTATAAGATGCCAAATGTTTTGGCCCCAATGTAGCTAGGTATTTAACCATGCACTTCATTTCTTAAGCTGCTCATGTGCTTAAATATTTTGCTGGTTCAAGTCCAGAGCTCACAGCATTCTGTGTGGTGTCAAAGGACTAGGTCTGCATTTGCAGCAGCACTGCTGAACTTGGCCTGTAATGACTTCAATCATCACACAGAAAGCATTTTCTGTTAATGTGCTATCCAACAAAAATCTTAAATAAATTTCCTTGGGATTTCTCTCTTCAGTGTGTGTTTCCTTATGGTATTCTAGCAGGCAGCTTTACTAGCCAGAGTCCTTGCAAAACAAGGCACTTGCAAGTAAAATCTAGTGGGAGCTAATGGAAAATTATTTTGTTCTAAAACTTCCAGGACTGTCACCCAAGACATGATTTTAAAAGCATATGAAGGCCCACAAGAAAAACGCTGGAGTGTGTGACCACTCCATCCAGTCAGAGCTGACCAAGATATTTTCAATCATTCACAGAAATTATTTAGAAAGTAATTCCAAACAACATGGGAGGACTTATCACCTAATGGCAGATGACTAGTCAACAGAGAAAGAGACCAAGCTCTTGAGCAAAGCAGTTCTCTGCAGATGGCTGGGCTCAGTAAGAGGATAAAAAATGAACCTGACCATTAACAGAAAGTGAAGCTGACTAGCTGAGTTTTACTGGTCCCGCTGAAGGCAGTACAAAGAAACAACCAGCACTAGGTGAGAAAAGGTGAGTCTGATTTCTAATCTTGCGTGTTGTAATTACGGTGTTAAATGTGCAAGTGCAAAGTGAATGGATGAGATGGCATAACTAGAAGGAATTTGTGGAAGAGAGCTGAGCAGAAACAGGCTCTGTCAAAGCCAAAAAGGATTCATGCCAACGTTGTTTCTCTTGGCATAGGTCAAAAAGCAGACTGTGTGACAAGAGAGAAATTGGAGAAGACTGAGATAATGCTCAATTAGATCATGCAGTTCACCTCCCTGGGGCCCATGACAGACTGGTGAGGAATTTTTCTGCCGGGGAAGGAAAAAAGAAGTCATAAGAAATTTAAAAAAACTTTTTTTTTTCTATCCTTCCCCCCAGAAAAATAAAGTCAAAATGAAACCACACTGAAAAATGTCATTTCCAGCTTACTGTGTTTTCCTGCTATGTTAGAACAGGAAAATTCAGATACTGACTGTGAGAATGCTCAGTAAGTCCATGCTCCAATTTCCTGCTATGACAAAATTTTGGGAAGACCTAATTGTGCCTCCTGTTACCGCTGAAATCCTTCTCAGTCACATGTAATCCTGAGACCTGTTGCATCAGAGTGTCACAGGTGTGTTGTTAGAGATGTTCCTGATAGTGCATGGCCAGACCAGAGCCTGACTCATTGAGACCAGCCACTCGCCCCACAAAAATGAGCTGCTTCATTCTCGTGGCTCCTTTTTGTACATGCTCCAACTGGCAGGATCACTTGCAGCTTCAGAGGCAGGCTGACCATTTCTGTAGTTGCTTTCAAGTGAATGCTGGGACTGCCTCAATTCTGAGAGGACTTTGGGGGAATTATTATCATTCTCCTGGACCCAGAAGCCATGATGCTTATGCTACCTCTAACTGAGAGCCTGACTGGTTGGGCTTAAATTTGGCAAGAGACTTCTGTATGTAGTCAGTAGGAGGGATGGTGGCAGCACCTGAGTGTGTGTTGAATTTAGTCTGTGGTGAGGCTGTACTGTGAGCTGGTATCAGGGCCAAGAACAAAACTGATTCCCCAAGCCCCATGCTACCTGTCGTACCACAACATCAGGAGCATCTGGCACTGAAATATTCCCTGTTGCCTTTCTCCTCAGCGCAATCTTCAAAACCTTTAAACAGTGAAGATTTCTCATGAGTTTCACTGTCAGGAGGTTTCTCCCTTAATTTTATTATGCTTCATTTTCATCTCCTTATCCTTAAAAAGAAGTCCCTGCTGTTATCCTACAATCCTACCTAACCCTGTTTTTGTTGTTTTCTTCCACCTAAACTTCCCAGGTTTGTCTCCATCTTTAGGAATGTTTTTAATACTCCTGGGACCTAGGACTGAAACTGTGCTCTGTGATGTGCTTGCAGGGATGTAAATCCAGCTTACCAGACAGTGACAATCAGAACTATGATTTATTTTAGAAAATGCTGACTATGAAGTACTTTCTCGGCATTACCATATTTCCTGATTGCCCTTTGTAATAGGGTGAGTTGAAGACTGCAGGGAGGGCCTGGCTTGTACATATGTGGATCTTCCTCAGAAGAGGGGTGGTCCTGCTCTTCATTATACTCTTATCAGTGGGCTGGCATCATCAGCAGCAGCTACTGGTCAGACTTCAGATAACATGTGCAACTGGAGGGAAAATTCTGGGGTTTGTGACTGCATCTTTGGGACAGAAGGAAGCAGAAGAGAAAGGAGCAAAATCACCCCAAGGGAGGCAATACTGCACTTTGTTAGGAGGTGGTTGCAGCTGACTGATCTCTGGCTCATCCCTCCAGCTAAGTGTTGAGGAGAGCTTCCTGAGTGTGGGAATGGCCACCCTCTGGGCTGGAGACCTCAGTCCCTCCCGCATGTGTGGGATCAGAGGGGTGGATGGCAGAGGGGGCTGCTCTGACATTTCCTCTCCCAGCGAGGAGGGACCCTGTCCTTGCGAAGGCCAGCTCAGTCCTGCATGACCAACTACAACTGCCGCTCCTGTGTCCTTTCCCCCGGGTGCTGCGTTCATTAGCTGTGAGGCCTTAGTTTTATGGGAACCCTCCCACCCAGCTTCCTTCTGGCTTAATGACAGGCCCATTAAAGAGAAGCCAATAAAGCCACAGTGCAAGAACAGCATGAGGGCCAGTTGCCTGTCTTCATGCACAAGCCAGGTCTGGGGGCAGGAGGAGGCAGGGACACCCCCGAGTTGTACAGAGGTGACCTCTGAGAGTGGGGAGAGCCCACGGCTTGCAGTCCAGCTTTCGTGCTCCACTCTGGGGCTCTCTTGCATAAACTTTTCCCAGTGTGGGGTTGGGTTTTTTTTTTGTGGGTTGGGTTTTTTTTACATCTCTGAGGAGGAGGAACAAGGTCTTTTAATGAGGGGAGGATTAACAGGCCGTAAGACTCAGCCCTGAAAGAGCCGTCGGTCTGTGGGGCCGCTCAGCAGGACGCAGGGTAATTGGATTGGATCCCGAAGAGCACCTTGAATCGGTTCTGAGGCGACCGCGGCGGGTTGCTCCAGAGGGGGCCGGGGGGCCGGGGAGGAGGGCAGCGTGTGGCTCTTTACAGAAGCCAGAGCCAAGATGGGGGATCAGCCGGCTCATTAAGGGATTAGAGTGTTTGTTCTTCTCAAGACTTTTGTTGCTAAAACACTTTGCGCAGCATTTTCTGGAGCCTGGGGAGCTTAAAGAGCTTGTCAGAGCCCTGCTCTTGTCCCCACACAGGAGCAGAGACGCTCTTTCCTCTGGCATTCCTGCCGATGCCAACAGCAGCTATTGCTAGCTACAGCTCTGCTCTTCCAGTCCTTCCTGTCTCTGGTCATAACGCTTCTGTCTCCTATGGGTTTTGAGGTAAAAAGGGAGGATAACAGAGGACAAAGCAAAAAAAAGCACATCAGTAGGGAGTCCTTTAACAGTGAGGGACACTTTAATTTGGGCTTTTTCCTTAGTATTTGTTGCATGGATAATGAAGGACTTTGCATGTTCCATGGTGCTCTCTGCAATCTTTTACCTCCCCATGGGCTCTGTGCTTGGTCTTCAGCACTTCTGGTAGCAAAGTTTGAGGCACAAACTACTCTGTGTATGTGGCCTTCATATGAATGTTGTGGCTAGAAATTACTACATAGACAAATTTGCTTACCAGCCTCATCTAAAATGGGCTGGCTGTTGAGATGCACTTGAGATGCAGTGCCAGAAAACGCTGGATGGGGAAAGAATGATGCAGTGAGACCTTGCCTGAGAGCACAGCTGTCCAAGAAGCTTAGTTCTCCTTTGGACTGTTGGGAGAAGCTAAAAGCCCTGAACTCCAAAGCAAAAAGTGCATAGGGAGCAGTCTGGGCTACTAGAAGATGTCAATGACATATGTGGATAAAGCTCTATTGTCAGCAGTTCATCTATCATCATGGCCCACACTTCTCACCCAACTAGCCTTTACCTGCCCTGCTCTGGGCATGCGCAAACCCTGCCCTGGCTGGCCAGGGGTGGAAATCTGGAGCCACTGGCAGAGCAAAGGCCAGGGGAGACGGTAGAGGAGCTATGTAGTACTTATCTCATTTTAGGGGTATCCTAAATCCCATCACTGTGGGATCGATCAGTGAGCAAGCAGGGTTTCTCACATGGGTAGCAACACCCACGGTGAAAGGGCAGTGTCTGTGGGGCAGGTACATTGGCATGACCTGGGAAGCAGTTCCCCTGTGACTTCCCTACAAGGACACTCAGAGGCTGAGCCCACCAGGTTTAGAGGTTCACACATGTCCTGCTGGTGGGTGAACACGCAGTTGGCACCCAGAGCCTCAGCCCCAGCCAGGGAGTTGTGTGTCACCTCACCGCCTTTCCATGCAGACCAGGATGTGCCCCACTTCCTTGTAGGGTGGTTGGCTGCAGGACAAGGTGTTATTTTTGGGGTGAATTTGGCCTCCACCTTTAGAGAACCCTGGGGTCTGGGCAAGGGGGGCTTAATCGGCTGTGTGGAGCAGCAAATGGAAGGGAGCTCACCAGGACCTCTCCAGCTCCCAGTGTAAATCGCACTCCCACCTCCCGTCTCTGCTGAGCAAGAGTTTCAGCTGGCAAGTGTGTAGATTGGGGTGGGAGAAGGGGACAGACAGGCAAGCAGGGGAGGGGTGGGGTGGAAGAGGGTTACAGGGAAAATAAATGAGACTCCCCTGAAATTAATTGTTTGAAGGGAGTGCCCCACTCGGCTGTGAATTCTGAAATGATTATTGGATTTGCAGGCAGACGGAGAACAGAACGGGTCGGGTGCACGATTAATATCTTATTGATAGCGGATTAAGAGAGCGAGATCAAATCTTTAACTGAGTGGAGATGCAGTTTATCAATTTGTCACAAAAAATGTAGCAATCAGAAGTGGAGAACATCAGGGGCAGCTTGTGGATCGATCTGTGTCAGTGCCTCACAGTATGGCTCCACAGGGAGGCCAGTTTTCCCCTGGGTGCCCAGATTGCTGGTGGAGACCAGCTTGATGCTGACCATGCCAAGGACTGGCCCAGTCACAAGGAGAGCTGCAGGGAGGAGATGCCATGCTCCTGTGGATGCTGCACTGCAGTGCTTGTGTATAGGGTGCAAGCAAAGCAGCGATGCCTAGGGACCACGGCTTCCCAAGATGGGAAATGTGGCAGTGGGAAATGTGAAGGCTCAGTGGAGAGCTTGCAATCAGCCAGAACTTCCCAGACTCAGTGGGGAATCTGCTTCAAACTATTTCAGGTGCAGCTGAATAGTATTTAGTTAGGAAGAAGTTCATGTGCTCTTGGCCTATATGATGCAAAGCTGTGGGTACTACCTAGCTTACTAACTGTCCCACTCCCATTGGAGACCTGATGTGTTGTTGACATCTGGATGTTGGTACTTCTGAATCATGTCTACAGCTCTGATGATTTAGTCTTGCTAATGAGAGCTTTCCTCCAAACAGCCTGGCATTCATGTGTGTTCTGTATTTTGGGAGTCCAGTTTGTTGACCAGCTCGTAAGCCTTGATCTGGCTCATGCATGGAAGGTATCTACAGCTACTGAAAGCATCTTGATAGCTGCGCAAAAAGGCAAGAACTCCAGAAAAATATCCAGCTTAGAAAACAGTCCTTTCTGTATCTTGAGGTAGTTCTGTGATGTGAACCCCTTTTGCCAGCTCTAAAGAATGCATTGGCTACTTGGGGTCTTCATTAGAAAATAAATACCACTTGTAGCCCATGTGGCTGTAAGCTTTTCAAAGTAACCTCTCTAAAGGCTAAAAGCAGAGAGCAAAGAAAGAAGAAATGAGTCAGATGGCTGGTAGGATTTGGTTTTTGAAATCAAA